AAAAATGGCTGCGCTATGGAGGATCTTCACTGGACAGTAAGTTTTAAGCCCATAGGAATGCATTGAGTTTTAATGCGTTTCTATGGGTTTTTAAATATCGCATGAGGACGTTTTCATTCGACAGCAATTTTCGCTGAACGAATTAATGTCGTCATGCGAGGCACCACTGTACATTTTCCAAACTTCCTTTCAACTTCCTTGGAAAATACTTTTTTTTAACAAGCTGTAATGGAAATACTGATGGAATAAATATTTTTCAATACCTATTCCAAATGTTTAGCATATCTTTGAGAAAAGTATTTTTAATCTTCTTTCCAATACTGTCATTATTTTGCTCAAAAAGAATATTCTCCAAATCCTCATTAACCTGAAATTCCGACTTTGACCATATTAATTTATTAGACTGCATTGAAATTTCTACACGGACACGCACAAAACCTTATATTAGGTAAACCTAACCATCCTAGATTTTGAAATTTACACCAACACTTTTTATTTATCCTTGCTCTTTTGTCGCCATTACAAAATTTATTAATTATAGTTTGCCAGTCTTTTCACTCTTACTCTAATATCTTTATTAGCATAATCATAAATAAATAGTAATCTTAGGTAATATCTTCATGTCACATACTGCTACCATGCAAAACCATTCTATCCTTCTCAACTCCTCTGACTTCTTAAACTTCTTGTTTCAATTTATAAAAATGTTTTTTAAAACATGTTTTTTAAAATATTTATACTTAAACACTAAATGCATTTGCATCTTTTAACATTAAATTTTCTCCTGATCATTTCTTCTTCTTTATCATAATTAAAATAGCATCGTCTCTGATTTGTCAATTTATCTTTAAATTCATCACCTCAAATTCTTTCCAATGTGATTTTAACCCAAAGGGAGATGTTTGGAAGGCAATCAAAGGTCAAAGAAACAACTGAAAGACAGGTTTTCTTTGAAGAGACTTGCTTTAAAGAATGAAGCGACAGTCCTCCAAAAAGGGACATTTTGCCATGTATGTCTAGGGAATTAGCTTTCATATTTAAGGCATATTTAAAGTATTTCTTCATAACAAATGCATACAGCAGGTGTGTTTGTCCGAGTCCTGATTGGTTTCAGGAAATATTCCCTCAGGATTTCTGACACCAGGCTCCTGACCACAAGTATTCAAAGGGGAAACCAGCTCCAGGTCTGTGGCAACTGAACTTTTGACCTTCTCAATCAGGACCCAAATAGCTGACTCTCAGCGGAGGCCCCTCAGCTGTGGAATACCCTTCCAACTGAAATTCAGCTGGCACCCTCACTGGGTGTTTTCAAAAGCCAGCTAAAAACTTGGCTATTTAAACAGGCCTTCCCTCCAGTCAATTAAGTGATTTCTATCCCTAGTTTTTTCTTTTTCTTTCTCCTTATGGTAGGCCATCTTGGCAATGTTTTGGTAGGTAATCAATTACTCAAATTGTAGTTATAATTGTAAATAACTGAAAATTTTTATGATTTTATATATGTATATATTGCCGTGTTTTAATTGTAAGCCGCCCTGAGTAGACATTGTCTAGAGGGGCGGGGTAAAAATCCAATAAATAAAATAAAATAAAATAAATATTTTAAAAGATTTTTTTAAAAAAGAATTGGGAATAAATCATTTCATGCTCACTTCTTTAAGCTGTGACATTTCTTTTTAGTTTTTAAAAAAGGTTTTGTTTTGTTTTATTTGTTTTGCTTTGATGGCTAGGGATGATTTTATATGATGTTAGCAGAGCTTTGGTGCCTATTCAAAAAACTCCAGGTTATGAATGTGGGATACTGTGCTTTTGTGCCCGCACTGCCAAAAAAGGATGCCAAACTTTACATAAAGGGCAGCCTGAATGTTTACAACACCAATGGCAGCAATCAAGATGGTCTATAGCCTCTGTTCACTACCATTCACACTTTTTGCAAAACAGTACACAAAACCATTGTCCTGGCTGTTTTTTGATAAGTGTGAAAAACAGATATGACAAGATACTGTTGTTGCTGCCCAGGGTGAGATGGGATTGAAAGGTTATCTAACGCCTCAAAGCTGCTCATGCTTTCTGGTTAAGCTTTTCCACCCAAAATGGAAGTCCTTTTCCAGGAGTTTGGTTAATTAACTGCCAGCTAAACTTGGTATACTTTTGCTCACCAAAGAGGCCAAACCTCTGCATAATATATAACTCAATGAACATGAAATACAAAAACCAATATTTTTGTTAGCCATTACACAGATGGTAGGTTGTACTACAATGAGAACTAAAATGGGCTTGCAAAAATAGGTACATTTTCAACATGTGTCTAAAGCTATACATTTCTGGAGAACACCATGCTAAATAGTGTACACTCGAAATGACTGCAGAGCAGATCTCAGGACCATGTGACATTATCAGGAACTCTTTTGTACTCAACGGGGACAGCATCACCCTTGCCAGCCATATGTGATCACAGAGCAAGAGTTCAAGGACTGACAATCTAAACTTGAGACATTGCAGGGTAATTACCAAAGTGCATCAGAACCAGGAAAGAAAAATAGAAACTATAATAAAGCAATTATATACAGAAGAGTTTCTTCCTTGTATTTAGTATCATATTTATGAATTAGAAAACATGACCATGTTCTAAGAGGCCCACAGGCTGTGACCCCACAGGAATTCTCTTTTTCAGAGCCCAGCAGGCAGTACAGTCTTTAAAAAGTTGCAGAGATTCCTGAAGGACATTTAAATAATCCAACCTTTTAGCCCACGAGCAGAAATAAAGACACAACAAAAACAACCCAGGGGACACTTAGTTAATCCAACAGACGAAATACGGTTACACAGGAAGGATTCAGGGCATGATTGGTCACTAGAAGCAAAGTTACCAAAAGGCTTAGGCGGGATCAATCAACTTCAACACACAGAGACAAAACCCTCTTTGGCAGTAACTTGTAGGCAGCCTGCAAATGTCTAGGCAGACTTCTGGAAAGTGAAATGTAAGATTTCCAATGATATACAACACACTTTTATTGTAAAATCCCCATTTGCAATGCTGTGACAGATGTTCCTTTTTAAATATGCAAATATATCTAAAGAAAAGAAAACAGCACCAAACTAAAGAAGGGTCCAGAGATACAGTCTAGAGTTTTAGTAGGTTCTTGGCAAATGATTCAAAAAACTGAAAACAGGCAGGCCTTTGGTTGTGCTGACCAGCCATGAACCCTAGCTGGCAAATGGCAGAAGACCAGCTCTTGGCTCAATTAATTCCATTCAGTCAATTTCCCTTTGAATATGCAGTGTTTATGCCTATCAAAGTGACTACAATTAGTGCCATATTCTCTAAACTGACAAAGTTCTTCAGTAAATCTTTGCAACCCAAATGGATTAGAATTAATTTCTGTTGATCCTACTTGGTACATGCATCAATGGATATAAGACTAGCGCTCAAATACTCAGCTCAGTGTGTGAGAGCCAGGGTGGTGCAATGGCCATGGGCTGGGAAGGGCGAGATTTAAGCTGCTGTCAATCCATGAAGTTCAATAGCCGATCTTAGTGAACTCTGTCCTTCATACTTGAATGCTTACTTCACAGAATCATTTAGATATAAATTAGACTTCTGGTCCAAAAATTGTGAGTATGAAGAACAGAAACCTGTCTTAAGCCAATGTAAGAATATACGTGCTTTAGGTCTTTGCAGCCTCCAAAGTTAATTACGTTTCAACGCAGTCAATAAATGTTTATCAAGGAATGGTAATTTATAATGGTGGCCCTGCATGATTTGGAGACACTGAGGGCAGTTTCACACACTACCGATTAGTCAGACCAGGAGAGGTCATATATACATCTGCTTGCCTCCATCTGTCACATTTTGATGCTATTTTAATTCCTAGGAACGGAGGGAACTGAGACCTACATGAGGTACACATGCAGTTATGGCAGGGAGCTGCAACAAAGAGCATGCAGGATGTGAACCTTGGTGCAGGCATTTTACCGACTGTGTTTATAAAGGAAAGCAACTGAAAAGGTCTCCTATTGCAATAGCAAGTTCGCAATTGTGCAGTACATACAGAAATATTCTGTATACCTTAAGCGGCCACTTGCGAACTGGTACTTTAGTATCATGACAGCAGAATGGCTTTTGCAGTAAAGTACAGCAAACTCTTTTGCCTGTAGAGGGCATTTCCCCTCAATTAATCTTAAATGCATTCATTATTTTAAAGCACCCAGAGAAATACAAATTCTGGCTTAAATTCAGTAGTAAATTGTAACTAGGTCTATTAAATTAGTGGGAGCTTGGTAAGTCAACCCTCCATAAGTTTCGCTGAGTCAATGGGCCTACTTTAGTGGTGACATACTGTTAGATTTCAGCCGCTGTGTCATACAGTGGCTGAAATTTGTACACAAATCATGGTAACCTAGCTCCTCCTCTCAGAAAAATTCCTGTGGACATCTTTGCTTCTGCTTGCTTCTCTGTTGGCCATGGTCATATTTTATTAAGAAAAATGGAAGAAAAATGCATGCAGGCCATGAGCGGTCTCTCAGGGTCTCATCTAATTAATCTTCACTAGACTGGATAAACGTTTGTGTCTTAAACTACAATGATACTTAAAGCATACTCTTGGAATGTTGTTTATATGTCAGACGGGTGCCCTAACTTGTGCACATTCTCCAATTATTAGAATCTGTCAATTTAATTGCAGCTCCTATTCTTCCACAGTTAGAGGAGCCAGCAGAATCTGCTGGATAGTTCAGTAGTTTAGGCATCTGGCTGGGGAGCCAGAAGTTGGAAGTTTAATTCCCCACTTGTGCCTCTTTGACAGGGGCTGGACTTGATGATCCATACAGGGTTCCTTCCAGTTCTGCAGTTCTGAGATTAAGATAGATAGGAACTCTACTTAGGAATATACATCACAGAGAATGATCAAGAAAAAGGTTTTTCTCGGTAAGAAAAGAATACATGGAGACTCAAAAAAATCAGGAAAGGAAAAAACATTTTTGACAAACCTAGAAAAGCTCACCTTTATAATCTTTTCCACACCTGAAGAGCAGATCATGTAGGTGTGGGGATTAAATCGGACCTGGTTCACAATGGAACGATGACCTTTCAGGACCATAAAAGCGCCATTAACTACCCTGCCAATTCCACCTGGAAAAACAAGAGGACAGCAGAATTGGAACGTGTACCATGTATTAGTTTTACTACACAGATACTGGACAACTTACGTTTCTACATAGAAGGATGATTTTCAATTGAGCTGCTGGATAGCTCAGTGCCTTTGGTCTCTGGTTGTGGAGCCATAGCTTGGGAGTTCAATTTCCCACTGTGCCTCCTTGAAAGGAACTGGACTCAATGATCCATAGGGATAGAAGGATGATTTTCAATTGAGCTGCTGGATAGCTCAGTGCCTTTGGTCTCTGTGGAACCAGAGCTTGGGAGTTCAATTTATGAAACGGATATCTTGAAATCTCACCTATGATATAGTGGTGGTCCAAAAAGGTATTATCATCCATACACGTGTTTGGATTTTGCACATAGGCCCTATGACTACATTTCTTTACTGTATATAAATGATTCCTTCTGCCCACCCAACATCTGAAAGACCCAGCTTTATAAAACAGATATCTTGAAATCTCACCTATGATATACTGGTGGTCCAAAAAGGTATCATCCATACAAGTGTTTGGATTTTGCACATAGGCCATATGACTACATTTCTTTACTGTATATAAATCAACAGAGAGATGGGTACTATAAGCTCAACTCTCCTCCAAACTTTTTGCAACATGAAATGATCAACTGTATGCTCCACACTACATTTCGCTTCTTGGGCAGTGGCCTCACTCTGCCAATTAGAAGCAGTGCTCAACCAAGATACCACAGAGGGAGGAGAGAGAAGAATTATATTATAGCACATTTTCGTGAGGCATCTATTCCCTAGGTAGTATTCTGCAGTAAAATGTGAGATTCAGAAGTTAAGCATCTAAAAAAAAGTGGCCTGGAATCCATTAAGTGGCCTGGAATCCATTAAAATGTATGTCAAATAAAGCCTGTCTTTAAGACAGGGGTCTCAAACATGCAGCCTTGTGACAGACAATACCTTCAACAGAGAGATGGGTACTATAAGCTCAACTCTCCTCCAAACTTTTTGCAACATGAAATGATCAACTGTATGCTCCACACTACATTTCACCTCTTGGGTGGTGGCCTCACTCTGCCAATTAGAAGCAGTGCTCAACCAAGATACCACAGAGGGAGGAGAGAGAAGAATTATATTATAGCACATTTTCGTGAGGCATCTATTCCCTAGGTAGTATTCTGCAGTAAAATGTGAGATTCAGAAGTTAAGCATCTAAAAAAAAGTGGCCTGGAATCCATTAAAATATATGTCAAATAAAGCCTGTCTTTAAGGTGACACAAGAATTTTGTTGTTATTGTGACAGACAATACCTCCCCACTGCTGACGTTTGAAGAGTTATATGAAAGATGATGTATTTTTTTAAATTTGGCGGAAAATGTGATGTGGCCCAGCCTCACCCAGACTCTGTTTCTAGCGGGCCCCAGGTAAATTGAGTTTAAAACCCCTGCTTTAAGGTGACACAAGAATTTTGTTGTTACTGTGACAGAGAATACCTCCCCACTGCTGACGTTTGAAGAGTTATATGACAGAGGATGTATTTTTTTTTTTAATTTCCTATAGTACAAAAGAAATAACAGCAATCTAATTCTGTAGACTCTACATGATCACTCACCTGCTTCAGGATCTGGAGGAATTCTCCACATGTATAAATTAAAGTCATCAGAGCCAGAAAGGATGTACTGTTAGAAAGGAAAATGCTGAAATGTTATAAGAGAATCACTATTTTGAAAAATTACAATAAGCTGATTATATGATACAACATAATGCGCGCGTCTTTAAATTCTTATTAAAAACCATATTATCAGGCTATCAAGACCAGGGATTAATGATATTGTGTGTGTGAGTGTGTGATGCTATTTTATAATCAACTAGCTACAATTCTGTGTACATTTGCTTGCAGAACCAACAGAAATGAGTGGGACTTTTCAATAAACGTAAAAAAAGAGACCGATCTATAAAACCCACATTTCCTCTTTTTTTCTCCAAAGGATAGATCCACCTTTAGGTTTGTGGAACTGGGGTAAAATTAGAGTTTCCTGCTGTCTCTTTCATCTGAAATGCTTTCCACAAGCCCTCAGAATTACTACAGAGAAGGTTGAGGGAGGAGTTGTTGTATCTTTTTTGAATAGATTCCTTACATCTCTGGAAGGCAGATCCTGGATAGAATCCTTTGCCAGGCATGCATGCATGCATGCATGCATGCATAGAGAAGGTTGAGGGAGGAGTTGTATCTTTTCTGAGTAGAGTCCTTACATCTATGGAAGGCAGATCCTGGATGGAATCCTTTGCCAGGCACTTTTTAATCTCTCTTTTCTTCTCAAAGTACTTTTTACATACTACAAGTTACATGTAAGAAATCAATCAGATAAACTACCATGGTGCTCATGAGAGGGGACCACAGATCAGTACAAGAGCTTCCACTTTGTACACTGAGGATCTTAGATCCAATCCTTAGTATTTCCAGGTATGGCTAGGAAAGGCCCATAATTGAAATCATGGAGAGCTGTTGCTACTGTTGAGAATACACAGCTGGATGAATCAATGGTCTACTAATTCAGTACTAGCTAAATACATTTTACAGAGTGAGTATATGCAATCTCACACTTGCACTTTTGAAACTCATTATATATTCTAAAAAATGTATGGGCATGGTTCTTGAATAGGAGTGTTTCATTAATATTAATAAAAATATTACTGCCCCAAGTAAGTGCTTGGATTGTCTGTAAAGTTGACCAGACCTGCCTAGAATATTCAGAATGTACACTTAGTGTTGGCTTGATTCTCCTGCAAAACAACAGAATGACTTGTAAGACCTAGTTCTACTACTTGAGGAATTCTGACCGTTAAAATGCCTGACTACTACAATGTTTACTTGGAACAAACAACTACTGTATTTTTGAAGAAAATTCACAAAGAACAGTATGTAAGTACAGAATGCATTAATTTTACATTTTTTAAAGCTATGATGTATCCAGTATACATCATGCGTATTTTTTTAAACTATGATGTATGCAGTGTTCACACTCACTGCCTGAAAGGTTATTAAGTCCTTGAATCAATAATTTTGAAAGCTTACTGAAGCACATTACTAGTCTGTTTAGCTGAACAAATAAAACACAACATTTTTTACAGATTAATAATTTATAAACACTGCATACAGGTAAGCATCAGTAGAGATTCCCCACCCAACTTTTAAGTTCAATTATCATAATTATTATAATAGAACAGCACCCACACGCATTTTTAAAAAGACTCAAAATACGGAGGACTCCTGAAAATGGCTCTGAAGGGACACACACACAAAAATTCATTTACAACAATTAATGGCTCTCCAGCCTTTTCTACAGCCTATACCCCAACAAGCTGTTCTTCAGGTTTGTGGCAAGCGGCACAAGATAGGAAGGGACGAGGTAAAAATTGAGCCAGTATCTTTTTTTACCCTTAATTGGAAGAACTAGTAACTAAATTGATTACACTGTATAAATGACAAAGTAAGCAACCATTTTCTTAAGGAATTTACAAATATTTGTCTGTATTTAGTGTCTATGCTTTCCTACAACCACACAATGCCTAAAAATTTTGTGAGTGAACTCACTAAAAGCAAAAATCAGATCTGCAGCCTTAGTTGCTTTACCCATCTTGGATGTGTTGGTTTCTGCTTCAGGAACTTTTCATCCCCAGACATTCACAAAATAAGGTACTCAGGCATTCTACGCTAACTAGTACTATCAGAATAAATGTACAGATAAGTAAGTGATGTTCTCTGATGTAGCTTTTTACAGAGATGTAGTTACAAGGGAATATGCTTTTTCTCCCATATCTATATGAACAAACCATATACTGTACTAAGAATGGCTTTGGGAAATTATTGTCAGTTGAATCCCCTCTGGCCTGCATTACCCCAAAAAAGAAAAAGAAAAAGAAAAAAGATCTTGCTTTGGAAACTTGCTTGGGGGTTGATGTGAATGCAGACTGAACAATTATAACTAAAAGGGATTTTGTATAAACAAGTACTGCCAGTCAAATCCAGCAGATGTTATGCCAGTGGTGAAGTTGGTAGATTTCGTCATACTGCCTGCACTGTTGTAAGTTAATATAATTGAACATAGAGATGTACAATACAAGCTGTTTGAGAGCTGCCTAATGTAAGCAATACAAGGTTATAGTCAATAAGATGAGTAAAAGCACAGAATGTGCTTCTTCAAAATTTTGAAAACTAAAAGGAATTAAGTAGGAATTTGCACATATGTATGTATTGTCAAGCTGCTTCAGAACTGTCAGTTGTATGCAAATACAATGTACATTCCTACTCCAAAATTACTTGCTGTTGTTGCTACATGCTGTCAAGTTGCCTCTGATTTATGGCTACTGTATGGATGAGGGTCTCCAAAATGTCCTGTCCTCAACAGCCCTGCTCAGTTCTTACACACCCAGGCTTGTGAGTCAATCCATCTCATATTTGTTTTTCCTCTTTTACTGCTGCTTTCACCTTTTCCTATCATTATTGTATTTTCTAGTGAGTCTAGCCTTTTCATGATGCCCAAAGTATGACAGCCCCAGTTATTTTTATTTCCAGAGAAAGATCAGACTGTACTTGATCTTGGATTCACTTGTTAGTCTTTACATTGGCCCAGGATATCCACAAAGCTCTCTTTCAGTACCATATTGTATTTCAAATGAATCAAATTTTCTCCTATCAGTCTTCTTCACTGTTGAGCTTTCATACCGATACATAGTAACGGGAATACAATAGATGATCTTGGTCTTGGTCTCCTGTAACACATCCTTATACTTAATGATCTTTTGTAAATCCTTCATTACTGCTCTTCCACATTTCAGTCCTCTTCTGATTTCTTGACTGAGCCAAGGTGTACAAAATTTAACAATTTAAATGTCTTCAGTGTCAACATTAAAGCCATACAATTCTTTGATAGTCATAATTTTTGTCTTAACATTCAGCTTTAGTCCTGATTTTGCATCTTCTTCTTTCACATTCATCAAAAGTTGTTTCAAGTCACTGCTACTTTTTTGCCAGTAAGTTAGTGTCATCAACATATCGTAAACTACTGATGTTTCCGGAGTTGTGACTGTTAGTCTGTGCTAACATTTGAACAAGAAACACAAAACAAACAAACAAAAGACATATTTTTGAAATACTGGCATTTTTTTGATCAATTTTCATTAGTCTTTCATCTGAGACTAGTCTAACTTTTCATATATTCTGTGTACAAGCTGAAAAGATAAAACACTACCTTGTCTAACACTTTAGCTTACGGGAAAACACTCCTGTGTTTGCCCATACTCTGTCCTAACATGAGCATCTTGTCCACAACACAGGGTACACATCAGGTGCTGAGGCATATCTATTACTTTCTGAACGATCCGCAGCTTCTCATGATCAACACAGTCATATGATTTGCTATAGTCCATAAAGCATAGACTTACATTCTTCTGAAATTCTTTGGTGCACTCTGGTAGTCAGCAAATATTTGTAATTCAGTTAGAACATCAAGCATTCTTACTTCATATACTATAAGGTAAAAGCCTTTGTTGTTAATACCTTGAACATTACTTTGATTGTGTGGGAGATTGAAGCAATAGCCCTATAGTTACCACACTCCTAGCATCTCCTTTCTCAGAACTAGAATGTAGATTGACTGTTTCAAGTCTGTGGGCCATTATTTTGTTTTCTATTATTTGTTGTCATAGTCTTATTAGGATTTAGACAGATTCGGCCTCTGCAGCTTGAAGCAGTTTTATTGGTATTCCATCCACCCCTGGTGATGTGATACTTCCAGGTGCATTCAGAGCAGTGTTCACTTCAATTTCTAAAACTGAGTTATTCATCATAGCATTCCTCTTCAAAGGAATCTGTCATCCTTTTATCTCTTCTGTATAGGTCAGCATATTGTTTCCACTTTTTCTATATTTTATCCTGGTCAGATAGTGTGTTTTCCCTTTGGTCTTTCAGAATTTCAAACCTAGGTCTAAATTTCCTTTTTATTTTCTTGGATCTTCTGGCAGAGATTTCTTTATTTTTTCTGTTTCATTGTTCTTTTCTATTCCTTTGCACTGGTCTTTGTAACAGTTCTCTTCATCTCTTGATAATAGGAGATGACTGCTGACAGGAAAATTTTCTACCAAGCAATGCAGAACAATGTTATGAACAGAGTAGCTAGGAAGTAAGTAGAGCTTTTCCTTTCTAGACCTGAAGAAGCATCAAGTAAAATACAGTATAAAGGAAATTCCCATGAGATTCGTGGCCTAAAAATGCATTAGAACAGTGCTTCATATTCTGACAGACCCACTATGCTTTTCTACTCCTACTCTAAATGTTAAAGTACAATGTTTAAACATAAACCTAACAAGTTTTTAAAACACTGTAAGTTGTTCTATGAGCAAAAGATGTTAAGTCATCAACTCCATCTGTGATTAGTTGAGAACAACCAAGAAGGGAGGGGAGAAAAGGCACCCAGATGACAAGTTGCTGATTCAGAAGCTTGCCTTACAAGGAAGAAAATTCCCAGGCATGATTAACAGCTCCTGCAAAAAACATCAATCTAAGCATTCTAAACATGCCTCAAATGTTTAGAATAAGCTGTCTTCAGGCAGCTGCCTATAGAAGCTTCTTGACACGTTCTTCTTTCCTCTCTATTCCCTCCCTCCTATATTTATTCTT